ATGTTTTCAGAAAATAGAAAAAGGAGTATTGCTTCCAAACTTATTCTATGAAGCAAACACAACTCTGATACCAAAGCCTGCTGATACAGACCAGTAAGTATCTCTCATAAATATAGAAGCAAAAATCGTAAAATATTAGCCAGTAGAATCCAACAACATAGTAAAAGACTAATAATACATCATGACTAGAAGCTCTGGTGGCCTAGTGGCAAGAAGTTGTGCTGTAATCCTGAAGGCACATGGTTCAAGGCCACCAACTGCTCTGCAGGAGAAGGATGAGCAATCTCTTTCAGTGTGTATAATGGCCGTTGGAAACCCACCAGCAAGTTCCAACTCAGTTTTATCCAAGAACAGCAATAAAATCACAACCAAGTGGGATTCATAACAGGCATGCAAGAATATTTCAACATAAGAAAAACAATAAATGTTATCCATCACATCCATTTTTTAAAAAAGAGATGCAGCGAGAAAAGAACCACATAGTGATCTCAAATGATGTAGAAAAAATTAAAAAAAAAATTCAACAGAATAGAAACAGAGGGGAATTTCCTCAACATTGATAACAGCTTATCCTCTAAATCAAGAGCCAACATCACTTTCAATGCAGAAAGTTTAAAGATACACCTCCCTCCCCCCCCCAAAAAAACAAAAACAGGCAAAGGGACTAGGCAAAGATGCCCACCACTATCACCATTCTTATTCAATATTATATTGGAAGTTCTAACTAAAGTAATAAGGCAAGAAAAGGAAATAAGAGACATGCAAATTGGCAAAATGAGGTACAACTCTATGTGTAAATGATATATTTATTTCTATAATTCTTTCTGCTAACATCAATAGTAGACTATTTATAAGAAGTCTCGGTCAATGTAGTCCTAAGTGCTTGACCTTTTGTATAAATCCATCCTTTCCAACATCAGTAGTTCTTCCTTTTCTTGGTTCCCTAGCTCCTCTATTTTCCTTAGGTTCAATGAGTCACTAGAAGGTCTCCCAGAGACTCAGAACTATTAGGGGAATAACTCATATGACTATACATTGCAGGCTGGTTTTGGAGAAACTGTTGAGTGACGAGCCTGGATCCCATAGACTGTCATTTGTAGCACAGCTAGATGGTGACTATGGATGATACAGGCTGGTGGTGTACAGTCCAGTGAGCAGCTGAAAGCTATGTCCCTGGCAAGCGAGTTTTCCAAAGGAAAAAAGCACCTGGCTCTGAGGTCCCATGACCTTATATAAGCCTCTAGTAGGGTGGGTAATATTCTCTTCTGACATCCAATTTGGTCTTTTATTCTTTATCTTTCCTTGTAACGATCTTTTTAATTCTTCATGGATGATATTCTTGATATCTTCCCACAGCTCATCTGGTCTTCATTCACTAGTGTTCAAGGCTTTAAACTTGTTACTGAGTTAGTTTTTAAATTTGAGGGGCAGGGGGGATAGACTCAAGATCAAATTTTTACTCCTGTGGATATGATTTGACCCCTCTTTAGCTTTAATTTGAACTTGCACATAAGTTGCTGATGGTCTGTTCCACAATCAGCACCTGGCCTAGTTTTCACTGTTGATATTGAACTTCAAAGCAAAGGGAAGACATCAAGAAGTTAAGGAGTTGATTAGAAGATTTCAAAGGACAGCTCAGAAGACAAAGCAAAGTATTATAATGAAATGTGCAAAGAGCTAGAGTAAAACAATCAAAAGGGTCAAACTCGTTGAGCATTTCTTAAACTAAAAAAACTACAGAACAAATTTAAGCCACCAGTTGCAATGCTTAAGGATACTACAGGCAGAATATTGAATGATTCAGGAAGCATTTTAAAAAATGGCAGGAATATACAGATTCATTGTACCAAAAAGAATTGGCTGACAAAAAAGAATTTCAAGAAACAACATATGACCAAGAGGCAAGGGTGATGAAGGAGGAGTTCAGGCTGCTCTGAAGGAGTTGGCAAAAAATAAAGCCCCAGGAATTGATGGAATACCAATTGATGTACTTCAACAAACAGATTCTGTCCTGGATGTGCTGAGCAGGTTTTGCCAAGAAATTTGGTCAACTGACTGGAAGAGATTCATATTTATTCTAATTTTTTTAAAAAAAGAGTGACCAAACAGAGTGTGGAAATTATCAAACAGTTTCATTAATATCACCCACTAATAAAATCCTGCTGAAGATTATCCAGAAATTGCCGGAACAGTACACCAACAGAGAGCTATTAGAAATAAAAGTTGGGTTTGGAAGAGGTCATGGCACTACAGACATTATAGCCAATGTCAGATGGATCTTAGCAGAAACCAAAGAGTACCAGTGGAATGTCTGCCTGTATTTCATTGATTATGTAAAGGCGTTTGACTTTGTAGATCATAACAAATTATGGCTAACCTTGAGGAAAATAGGAATTGCAGAACACTTGATTGTGCTGATGTCAAAACTATACTTGGACCAGGAAGCAGTCTTCAGAACAGAGCAAGGAAACACTCTATGGTTCAAAATGGGGAAAGGAGTGTGTCAAAGATGTATCCTGTCTTCATACCTTTTCAATCTATATGCAGAACAAGGGAGTGCATCAACATGTCCATCTGCTGATTTCAGTCACCCTTTGGTCCTGGCAAGGGTTTCTTCTGATAAGCATTGACATGTCCAATTCTAATATTGTTGTTAGGTGTTGTCAAGGTGAATAAGACTCATAATAACCCTATGAAAAAAAGATCTGAACCCTGTTCTATCCTGATCCATCCTCACACTTCCCAACAGACAAGAGCTTATTGCAACAGTCAGCATGTCAATCCACCTGATTGAGAGTCTTCCTCTCCTTCACTGACCCTCCACCCTTCCCAGCATCATGTTCCTCTCCAAAGAATAGCCTCTCCTAGCCATATGCACAAAGTATGTGAGGGGTAGCCTCATCATTTTTCACTCCAAAGAGCACTCCAACTGCACCCTCTCTAAGACATATCTGTCTGTTCCCTTGGCCACCCATGGGATGATCAGTGGTCTTCTCCAACACCACAGCTCAAAGGCATCAGTTCTTTTTCTGTCATCTTTATTCATTGTCCAGCTCTTGAATGCATAGCAGGTAATTGGAAAGAGTATGACCTGAATCAGACACATCTTAGTTCTTAAACTGATATCATTATTACTCAATAATTTGAAGAGATCTCTAACTGCAGATTTTCCCAGTTCAATGAATCTTCTTATTTCCTGACTGCTGGTACCAAGGGTGTTAATTGTGGATCCAAGCAAGATGAAGGTCTAATATGCCCCCTAAGTTCCCATAGTGCTGTCTGTAGGTACATACCACCCACTGGCATCCTATTAACAGTCCAGTTTTCCATGGACCATTTGCCTGACCATATACCTAAGTAACTAACCCATGAATCAGCAAACATCCAAATACTGTCTACAGTTAACATCCATGAGCCATCTGCCATTTTTACAGTCTCTGCAGGGTTGTATTGAGACACTTGTTGCAGAGGAACAGGGAAATGCAGCCTTCAATTTGGATTGCACCTCAATGTCAAGAAAACAAAGATTCTTACCACTGGACAGATAGACAACATCATGGTGGAGAGAGAAGAGGTAGAAACTGTCAACGTCATCTAACTTGAATTCACAATTAATACCCTTGGTGCCAGCAGTCAGGAAATCAGGAGATGTATTTCATTGGGGAAAGTCTTCAGTTAAGGGCTTCTCCAAATTATAGAGGAGTAATGATGTCATTTTGAGGACTAATGTGCTTCTGAATCAGACTATGGTCTTTCTGATCACTTGCTATGAATCTGGGAGCTGGACAATGAATAAGGATAACAATAGTAGAATTAATGCCTTTGAGTTGTGTTGTTGGAGAAGAGCACTGAATATACGTACCATGGACTACCAAAAGAACAAATAAATATATCTTGGAGAGAGAGTAGCCAAAGTGCTCTTTACAGGCAAGGATGATGGGGCTTTACCTCACTTACTTTAGGAATTTTGCTAGGAGAGGCGCCTGCTGCAGAGTGTCAAGGACTGCAGCCTACAATATGGATTGAGGCTCAATGTCAAGAAGACAAAGATTCTCACCACTGGACGAATTGGCAGCATCAGGATGGATGGTGAAGAGATTGAGATTGTACACAGCTTTAGTTTGCTTGGCTCCATAGTCAACAGTCTTGGCACCAGCAGCCAGGAAATTAAATGGCGCATTGCCATGGGAAAGTCTTTTGTTAGGGACCTCTCCAAAGTGCTGAAGAGCAATGGTGTCTCTTTGGAGACTAAGGTGTATCTGATACAGGCCATGGTCTTCGCAATCACCTGTGATGCTTCAGAGAGTTGGACAATGACCAAGGAGGATAGAAGGAGAATTGATGCCTTTGAGCTGTGGTGCTGGAGAAGAGTATTGAGAATACCATGGACTGCTAGGAAAACTAACAGATTTGTCCTGCAAAGGGTTAAACCGGGTGGCTCCTTGGAGGCAAGGATTCTGAGGCTCCGCCTAACATACTTTGGACATGTTGGGAGGAGAGACCGGTCCTTAGAGAGGGACATCATGCTTGGGAGGCTGGAGGGACAGCACAGGAGAGGAAGGCCCTCTATGAGGTAGATTGATTCAGTGACTGGGATAATTGGGATGGGAGTGTCAGAGACAGTGCGACTGGCACAGGACAGAGCGGAGTTTAGGGCTGTTGTACATAGGGTCGCTATGAGTTGCACCATTGAGAACAATGTTGGCTCTTGGGTTTGCATACTTTTTACTATGTTGAAGAAATTCCCCTCTAATCCTATTTTTTTTAGTGTTTTAATCAGGAAAGGGTGCTGGATTTTGTCAAAGGCCTTTTCTGCACCAATTGATAGGATCATGTGGTTCTTGTTCTTTGCTTTGTTAATGTGATGAATTACATTATTGTTTTCCTTATGTTGAACCATCTTTGCATACATTTTATGAATCCCACTTGGTCATGGTGAATTATTTCTTTGATGTATCGTTGGATTCTATTGGCCAATATTTTATTCAGGATTTTTGTATCTATGTTCATGAGAGATATTGGTGTATAGTTTTCTATTTTGGTGGTGTCCTTTCCCGGCTTTTGTATCAAGGATATGTTTGCTTCATAGAATGAGTCTGGGAGAATTCCATCTTTTTCTATTTTCTGAAATAGTTTATGTAGAATTGGTGCCAGTTCTTCTCTAAATGTCTGATAAAATTCACTTGTAAATTCATCTAGCCCAGGGCTTTTTTTGTTGGAAGTTGTTCTGTTACCTTTTCAATGTCTTCTTTTGTAATGGGTCTGTCCAGATGTTCAATTTCGGTTTGTGTCAGTTTAGGTAGATTGTGCATTTCTAAGTATTTGTCCATTTCCTCTAGGTTTTCATATTTATTTGAGTATAGTTTTTCATAATATTCTAATGCTAGCTTTTTAATTTTAGTTAGTTCTGTTGTGATGTTGCCAGATTTCATCTCTTATTCCGATTATTTGTGTCTTCTCCTTCTTTTCTTTTGTGAGTTTTGCTAATGGTTTGTTGATTTTATTGACGTTATCAAAGAACCAACTCCTAGTTTTGTTGATAGTTTCAATTGTTTTTGGTTTTCTATTTCATTTATCTCTGCTTTAATTTTTATAATTTCAGTATTTTTATAGGGTGTTGGGTTTTCTTGCTGTTTTTTTTTCAATTTGTTGAAGATGTTGGGTTAGAGAGTCAACGGTCAATTTTTCCTGCCTTTTGATGTGTTTGCTAATTGCTATAAATTCAGCTCTGATTACTGATTTGGCTGTTTCCCAGAGGTTTTGGTAAGTAGGGATGCAATTGTTTTAAACAAAGAGCATCCAGACTACAACTGTTTGTTAATTAAATCAAAATTACTAAACAGTTACACTTGATTGTTAATTAAATAAAAATAACCAGTTTAACCTCATTGTTAATTAAATAAAAATGGCCCATCAACTTACACCTGACTTTTAATTAAATAAAAGCTACCAAACCATGTACACCTGATTATTAATTTAATAATAATTTTGTACTTTCCAAAATCCAGCTGCTTTAAACAAGAGGCTGTCATGAAGGCCTCAATCGACTCCAGACTTATCCAGTGCAATATGTCTCCTGATCTTCTTACTGCTGGTACCAGGTGTATTGATTGTTGATTCAATTAAGATGAGGTCACTGACAGTGTCAGCTTTTTTCCATCTCGCATGATGTTACCTCTTGGTCCATTGATGATAATTTTTGTTTTCTTGAATGAAGTAATCCATATAGAAGGCTGTGATGTTCGAACTGCAGAAAGTATTTCACATCCTAATTTTCAGTAAGCAAGATTGTATCATCTGCATACCAAAGATTATTGATGGATCTTCCTCCAATTCTTATTCCATATTCATAGAGTCCAACTTCTTGAATAATTTTCTCATCATACAGATTGAATAAGTATGGAGAAAGGATACAATCCCAATGCACTTACTTATTTTAAACCACGTACTGTTCCCTTGCTATGTTTACACAATAATTTCTTGGTATAGATTTTTCATGGGCACAATTAGGTATTGTAGGATTCCCATTCTTCTCAATGTCGGCCATAACTTGTTATGACCACATAGTAAAGCCCAAATAAAACTTCTTCTGAAATTTTTGCTCTCAGCCAGGATCCATCTGATGTCAGCAATGATGTCATCAGTGCCATGACCCCTTCTAAATCTAGCTTATACTTCTATCACTTCCCTAAGTATCCCTAGATATCTTTGAATTATTTTCAGATTTTTTTTTTACTTGCATGTGATAATAATGATATTATTTGATAATTCCCACATTCTTTTGGATCTCTTTTCTTAGGAATGGGGACAAATACGGTTCTTTGCCGGTAAGTCAGTCAGGCAGCTGTCCTCCAAATTCCCTACCACAGACTGATGAATGCATCTGGAGCTGCAACTCTCATTTGAAAAATGTTAATTAGTTAAGCATGTCAGTCGACTAGCTAGTAAAGAACTGCAAATCAAAACAACAATGAGAAGTCCACTCAACCCAGCAACAGTAGCAAAGTTTAATAGTGCAACACACAACAAATCATGGTGAGGATACAGAGAGACTGGAAATTTAGTACACTGCTCATAGAATATAAAATGGTATAAATCCTATGGAGGGCAGTCTGGCACTTCCTCATAAAGTTGGAAATAGAAATTTCGTTTGAACCAGACATCCAACTACTGTTGTTGTTGTTGTTAAATGTCATCTAGTCATAGAAGATTGATACCAACCGTATGAATGAAAGACCTGGACAATTGTATAACTTTCATCACTTCTCCAAGTTCAGAGTTTCTGAAGGCAAGCTATATTGGAAGTGGATGCACTCCTGCTTCCAAGCTTGTTCTAACTGGGGAGTTCCATTAAACACTGTCTACCATGGGTAATAATGATCACATTTAACAGATCAGTGTTGTTGTGTTTAGCATTACAGCAACCATGAGTTACCTCTGTACAGCAAACAGATAGACCAGTGCTATATCGCATAGAAGAATGTTTGACCAAAACAATTAAAAACAAGCCTGAGGGCCACAGATTAAGATCACCCACCTTTGGTTTGGTAGAATAGCTTTCTCTCTACTAGGCCAACAAAGTTCTCTCTAGTTGTTGTTGTTGTTGTAGTTAAGTGCCGTCAAGGTGTAGATGACTCTATTAGGGATATTAAGAATTTAAAAAAAGGAAAGAACCTGCAACACAAATAAGTATATGTACACTCATATTTATTGCAGTATTATTCACAAGAGCGGAAACAGCCCATGTTTGCTGCCCACTGAATGGATAAATCATGGTGCAGCCACACACTGGAATATTATGCAGCATTGAAAAATAATGAACTGAAAAAATACTGCACAAAGCTGGTAAGTCTAAAAGACATTATGATGAGCAAAATATCTTAGTAACAAAGGGACAAATACTGCATAAGTTCATTATTGCAATAATAAATTTTAATTGAGAGACAGGGAGAAGAACAGGAAAAGAATAGATAGTTAATGAATATTGCACTAAAATGAGTGAAAGAAAGAACATTCTGAAAGAAGAGATGATTTGGATTCATATATATGATAATTAATAGTCTCACAAATGGAACTGGGAAGGGGAAAACTGGAGGGAAGAAAGTGTGCATGAAAGAACAAATAATATAAAACAACAAAAACTGCATATCCTCTTGCAGAAAGTTAAAGCAAAATCTTTACTTCAACTATAAGCAAAAACTAGCTCAAACTGGATCAAGGACAGAGACATAAAAACTAAAACAAAATATCATTAAAGGAAATATTGGGGCAAAATTATTAGCCCTGAATAATGGCATAAACGGACAAACAAATGTAACTGCAAATACAGTCTGCAAAGGATAATCGAGACAATTTGTACATCCTAAAGATTAAATCTTATGGACATCAAAAGACCTCTCCAAGAATGAAAAGAGAATCAACCAACTGGGGGAAAGTATTTGATTATAACACACTGTGCAAGGATCTGGAGTCAGAAAATCAAAAGGGCTGAATTCTCTCAACATTTCTTAAGATGAAAGAATTGAAGAACAAATTCAAACCTCAAGTTAAAATACTTAAGCATGCTTTGGGCACAATATTAAATGATCCAGAATGGATTAAAAGAAGATAGAAAGAGTATACAGAGTCATTGTACCAAAAGGCATTGGTGGACACAGTAATTTCATGAAAGAATGGATGAGCAAGAGCCTGTGGTGATGAAGGAAGAAGTCAAGCTGCTCTGAAAGAATTGGAAAAAACAAGACCCCAGGAATTGATAGCATACCGATTGACATATTTCTACTAACAGGCACTACCCTGGATGTGCTCCCCAAGTTGTGTCAAGAAATCTGGAGGACAACCACCTGGTTAACTGACTGGAAGAGATCTATATTTATTCCCATTCCAAAGAAAGGTGATCCAACAGAGTGTGGAAATTATCGAACAGTATCATTGATATCTCATTCAAGCAAGATTCTACTCTACTGATGATTATCCAAAACGACTGGAACAGAACATCAACAGAGAACGGCTTGAAGTGGAGGCTGGATTTAGAAGAGGCCATGGCACTAGGGATATTGTAGCTAATGTCAGATGGATCTTGGCTGAAAGCAGAGAGTACCAGAGCAGTGTTTATCTGTGTTTTATTGTGTATTCAAAGGCATTTTACTTTGTGGATCACAACAAACTGTGGCTGACTCTGAGAAGAATGGGAACCTCAGAACACTTGATTGTGCATATGCAAAACCTATACTTGGATCAGGAGACAGTCATCAGAACAAAGCAAAGAAACACTGCATGGGTTCAAACTTGGGAAGGGTGTGCACCAAGGATGTGTCCTATCTCCATATCTTTTCAATCTATATGCGGAACAGATTATCCAGGAGGTTGGGCTCTATGAGGAGAATGTGACATCAGGATTGGAGGTAGACTCGTCAACAGTCAGTGTTATGCTTGCTAAAACTGAGGAGGAACAGAAGTACTTGCTGCAGAAGGTCAAGGACTGCAGCTTTCAATATTGATTAAATCTTAACATCAAGAAAACAAAAACCTCACCAATGGGCCAATTGGCAGCATTATGATAGATGGTGAAGAGATTCAGATTGTTGACAGCTTCAGTTTGTTTGGCTCTACAAGTAACATTCTAGGTACAAGCAGCCAGGAAATTAAAAGACAAATTAAATTGGGAAAGTCTGCTGTCAGAGACCTCTCCAAAGTACTGAAGAGCAACAATGTCAGACTGGAGATCAAGGTGCATCTGATACAGGCCAAGGTCTTTGCAATTACTTGCTACGCATCAGAAAGCTGGACAATGACTAGCAATGATAAAATAAGAGTTGATGACTTTGAGCTGTGGTGCTGGAAAAGAGTATTGCATATACCATGGATTACTAGGAGAACAAACAAGTTCATCCTGGAGAGGGTGAAATGAAACCAGGCTGTTCTTTGGAGGCAAGGATTCTGAAGCTTCATCTGACATACTTTGGACATGTTGCAATGTGGGATCGGTCCTTGGAGAGGGACATCATGCTTGGGAGGGTGGAGGGGCAGTGAAGGAGAGGAAGACTCTCAATGGGATGGATTGATTCAGTCACTGGGGTAATGGGGATAGGTGTGTCAGAGATAATAAATTTGGCAAGGGATGGAGTTAGGGCTGTTGTACATACGGTCACCATGAGTCGCAGGTGACTCAATGGCACATAACAACAACAACAATAACACATCTATCTGACTATGAATTAATATATAAATTTTATAAAAAATCTAACACCTCATCAAGAGAAAGACAAACCACCAAATTACAAAATGGACAGGGGACATAAACACTTCACCAAAGAAGGCATTCAGATGGCCAACAAACACTTGAAGAAATGCTCAAGACCATGAGTTATTTTCACTTTCATTGTTATTAAAGTGGAACCAACTCAAAGCCTACCCACAGTGGATTTCTAAGCCAATGAATTCCATGAGAAGACATTGTCTGTCTTTCTAATTATGCCACCAGAGTTTCCTCATTAACTTCCTCATTAATAAGAGAGGCAGACTGAAATAACAGTGGGATATCATCTCACCTGAGCAACAATAGCAAAGTTCAGCAAGACAGCAAATAACAAATGCTGGGAAGGATGTGGGGAGATTGGAACTTACATACATTGCTAAGGTAAATGTAAAATTGTGCAATCACTATGGAAACCAATTTGGCACTTCCTTAGAAAGTTGGAAATAGAAATAACACTGGATTCAACAATCTCACTACTAGGTATATATCCCCAAGGAATAAGAGGCTCAACACAAATTAACATGCTAACATCCCTATTTATTACTAATAAGAGTTGGAAACCCCCTAAGGTCTCAGGAGATGAATTACAAAAAACAACAACAACAAACAAACCAAAACAAAAACCCACAACAACCTGTGGCACCATCACACAATCAAATATTACGCATCACTTAAAAAATATGCATTCAATGGGACTGATATCAGGGTTGGGGTAAAACTTAGAAAAACTGGATAAATTGTGTATACTGCACTGAAACAGATGAGGGAGTGAATAATTTAAAAGCGATGTATGATAGGGTATTGTGGTTATCACAAGAGTCCACAATTAAGACTGCATAATGGAATGTACTTGGGGTGGTGGGAGGGGTGCAGGGTGATTGTGTACCAGGGAGGGAATGTTTCTTTTACTTTTAAAAGAGAGGAATGAACTGGGGTGGAGGGGGAGGGCTGGGCAGGTAGAGAAGTGCAGAATGAATGAATGGAAATCCAAAATCTCTGTAAATGTTCATTAAAATTATTTTAAAAAATTTAAAAAATATGCATTCACATAGATGAACTGAGACAAATTTTACTGAGTGGCCAGTCACTAAAGACAAGTATGGTTCAAGACTCATATGACAAAAAGCTAAGAAAAGGTTTATACGTATACAGAATCCTTGTTAGATGTTTAACAGGGAAAAGAAGTGAGGAAGATAGAAGGGAAATAAATAAATGGACAACTTTCATAAAGATCTAAGCAATCAACATTGAGTTTGATTTGATACTGAAATTAATACATTTTATTAATCAATTGTAATTGTTATAACAAAATCTCTATAAATGATTGAAAAATCAAAATCATTTCTAAACTTCCCCTAAAGTAAAATATTACTTTAAAAATCTAGATAAATAATTATATGCTAATAAAAAAGAAGAAAGTTCAATGGAAGAATATATTGAGTCATAATGAGCTCCTTAGTAGTTGATTTGGCTTCACTTTGGTACTACCACTAGAAAAGGCTCTGGGAACCTTAACCTAAATGTTATTAGTGAGAATCTACCCAGTGGTTTTGATAATAAAAAGGCCAGATAATTGGTTTCCATAAGATTATAGCCAAGAACAGTATGGAATAGTTCCTCTGAAATATATGAGATCACCACCAGCCGGCAACCAACACAATGGAAATTAAAAAACATCTCACAGAGAAATAACTCAATGGTAGTCAGAAAATCTGCTGACTTCCCTCTAGAAGCAACATAAAGATGATTCATCAGAGAATAAATGTAGTCTATACATTTAGGGCTAGAACATGTAATTTCCAATCTTGCAGGTTCTTTACTTAAAGTCCATCATGAAACCATAGAGGATGATGACAGATGGGCCAGTGAGGACACTAGCTAGAAATCTGACCCCTCATTTCATTTTATAGGCAAGAAATCTTAACTATTATAAGTAAAGGCTGACAATAGACAGTCAGGAACAGTGTAATAGGTGTGGAAATCCTTCATACTCAAGTTTTGACCATAAGATTCTATTTGCATAAGCAATAGGATTCCCAGGTTTCAGAACCATGGTTGATAAACCACTACTTAACCCACTCAAACTATCCACATATATTTTAGTTGTCTTGATCTCTAATTAGTGGACTTTGTTTCTTGCAGGTAACTTACTTGAAGATGAGAAGTTTATATATTGTTTTCCTGATTTTGGGAATCTATTGCTTGAGTCTTATCATTCACCAATTGAAAAAAGGACAGCTTACTTTCGAGAAAAAGAGAGAGAGCTTCCTTCAGCTTCCCGAAATAGACTGTAGACAAAATCCTCCCTTCCTTGTCCTGCTGGTGACTTCTTCTCACAGTCAGGTGACAGCTCGGAAGGCCATCAGGCAAACATGGGGGGCAGAAAAGGTTGTAAAAGGAAAACGAATAAAAACCTTCTTTCTTCTGGGAACAACAACAAAACAGAATGAAACAGCAGTAGTGGTCCAGGAAAGCATGCAATATCAGGACATCATCCAGAAGGACTTTGTGGATGTCTATTTCAATTTGACTCTGAAGACCATGATGGGCATGGAATGGGTCCACCGCTTCTGCCCTCAATCCACCTTTGTGATGAAGACAGATTCAGACATGTTTGTAAACATTTACTATCTGACTGAACTGCTTCTAAAGAAAAACAGAACAACTAGGTTTTTCACTGGGTTTTCAAAAACAAGTAGATACCCAATTAGGTATCCCAGTAAGTGGTTTGTCAGCAACGAGGAGTATCCATGGGCCCTGTACCCACCTTATTGCTCAGGCACAGGCTATGTTTTCTCCAGTGATGTTGCCAGTCGAGTGTATAGTATTTCAAAAAGTGTCCACTTTATTAAGTTAGAAGATGTGTTTGTGGGACTTTGCCTCAAGAAACTTAACATCAAGATAGAGGAACTTCACTCAGAGCAAACCTTTTTCCTTGAACGGTTACCCTTCTCCCCATGTCGGTTTAGGAAAATTGTGACGAGTCATTATATGAAGCCTACAGACATCTTGTCATATTGGTATGCTCTGGAGAGTTCTCTGGAGAAAAAGTGCCCAGATAGCTCAAGGTCAACCACAACTCAGCAGGGAAAATAGCAGCCAACCCATAAAGATTGTAACAGAGTTATAACTTGGCATTGCAAAGAGAAATGAGGGAAAGCAAAATGGGGCATGGGAGACAAGAAAACAGGGAAAACAGCCTTTCAGATCGCAAATATCAGCTAAAATACAAGTGTAACTGTGATCACTGATAAATTTCCATATGATACCCCCACAGTAATCAGCAGCATTTCTTATGGTCCTTCACTAATGTTGTTATTGTTGTTGTTAGGTGTCACCAGTTGAGTATGATTCATAGTGACCATATGAACAAAAGATCTGAACACTGTTCTATCCTGTGGCACCTTCACACTCCCTTACACACTAGAGCTCATTGCAACAATCACTACATCAATCCACTTGGTTGAAGGATTTCCTCTCCTTCACTGACCCTCCACCCTTCCCGGCATCACATCACTCACTAAGGAATAGCCCCTCCTAGAAACATATGAGGTGAAACCTCATCATCCATGCCTCCAAAGAGGAATCAGGCTGCACCCTCTCCAAGACAATGAATGTTAATTTCCCCAAACAAAATCCACTATAGTTGATACAGTTAGGACCCACGGAGACCCTTCATTTGGTTCCAAGGCTATAAAACTTTCTGAAAGAAGACTACTCCTCTATCCTGAAGAGTTGTTTTGTTGCCCTTATTCTCTGCATTGTTGTCATCATTGTTAGATGCTAGTGAGTCAGATACAACTCCTGGCAACCCAATGAACAAGTAGTCTGGACATTAGAATTAAACTTTCAGTAACAGTCCAACTCATAATAAATAGACATCTGTATTACAGCTCAATGTCTGAATTCTGTAGTCTGCAGTAGAATGTTACTGCCATTTCAGTTCACAATCATATCAATGAAAGCCAGGGTCATGATTTAATGAACCTTTTTGACGTCATATTAATGATTTCCCTCCTTCTAAAATTATCTGTCTGTGTTTGTCTTGTTAACGTCTTAATAAAATTTCTATTTATTTCATTTGTAATTTTAGTGGTAATGGTAAGTTCTTACGTGTCATGCAGTATATCCAGGTTCAGTTCTTAGTCAGAGTGTACCCCTTGAATAGCCACCATACATCTATCTTTGGAGTTTTGCTTAATGTTATGAAAAGGTTGCAACAGAGCTTTTGTACTGAGACATACTAAGAAGAAAGACCTAGTACCTTACTTCTGAAATGAATCACTTTCAATACGTAGCTCACAATGTTCTATGGCTGTTCATGGGATGGTGCAGGTCCCAGCAGCATGGGATCACAATGAAATAGGGATCAGCTTGGTGATAACTAGCAACAATCTCATGTGACCAGCAGAGACAATCCAGTATCCTGGATTCCAGCCTTAAATTCTTCAAGAATATATTCTGAGTGCAACAATGAATGAATGGAAATTAAAAAAATAATAATATATTCTGACTAACTGTCCCCACATACACCTGCTACCTGTCCAAATGAATGGGTCCCAAAAGTTCAGAAATTATTGCCAGTCTCCCTCTGTGTATAAGAGAGTAAGCTTCAAAGGAAGGGTGTCAACCATGAGATTTCCCAAAATGCATGTTTTAAACAAAGGGAACTTGAATTCAGTGCTCACGTTTCTGGGGTTTCGTCTGACATACTTTGGACATGTTGCCAGGAGTGACGGGTCCTTGGAGAGGGACATCATGCTTGGGAGGGTGGAGGGACAGCGCAGGAGGGGAAGACCCTCTATGAGATGGATTGATTCGGTGACTGGGGTAATCGGGATGGGTGTGGCAGAGGCAGTACGGTTGGCGCAGGATAGAGCAGGGTTTAGAGCTGTTGTGCATAGCGTCGCTATGAGTCGCAAACGACTCGACGGCACATAACAACAGCAACTTCTGGTTAACTTCTCTATATCTATGCTTGAAGAAACTGCCTGTCACTGTGCTCCTTGGTATGCATCTTTCCTTTGGAACACAGAATTGGAAAGCAAGTACTCAGTCCTCTTAGGAAGATACACAGCTCCTCACAGTGATAAAGATAGCTAAGATTTTTATGGAATGTTCAGTCTTCTATTCTGCATGGTCCGTGAAGATTGGTTATAAAAAATAGTGTTGCAGCAGTGTCAGACAGCCCAGAGAGAGAAAGAGAGGAGAGGGAGAGAGAATGAATAACTCTTAAATCAATCAGTCCAAGGTTAATCCCTATGAAGCAGAGGTCAAATGTGCCTCTTCCTTCCAATCACCCAACCAGTGTTGACTCCAGCAATTCAGACTCAGGAGCAAGTCAGGATATAATTCTTCAGTCAGTAGTTTATCTGCTGTGCCCACTGCTGGACTTTCTGGACCCTTGAGTCTCAGCCCTTAGGGCATCTTGGGTCAACACAGATTCTTCCCTACTGAGGCAAGTGTTACAAGGTTTTTTAGTACCAAAAAAGCACCTCACTCTGCCAACAAACTTCCTACTCATAGTTGTTAAGCTCTCTCATTCTGTGGGCCAGAAAAACCCACCAAACTGTCTCCTGATCATCCACAGATTCTACTGCCTCTGCTGTCACAATTTCTCTGCCACGGCTTCTCACAATCTGTATCCCTCTTTAGTGGGATTCCTTCTTTCTCTCCCATGTCTAAGAATTTCATAGTTCATGAATTTCAAACTGAAATCGTGCACTTAACTCTTAGCTCTTCTTTCTTGGTGGTACTGAGGTCTGCTGGTGTCTGTTCTCTGGATGTCTATTTTAAACCCAGATCACTCATTTACTCACTGATTGATATCTAGTAGGAACAGACTCATAGCTATCCACCTTTCCATTGGGTTTCTGAAGTTGTAAATCACAAAGGAGGAGAATGTCCAGCTTTCCCCCAAAGAATCACACTGGTTGATTAGAATAACTAGTAAGGAGTGCCATTGGCTTTGCAGCAAATGTCCCTTACTGGCTAGTATACCAGAGAGAGTGGGATGGCAATATTGACCAGCCTCCTCATAAGGGTTCCAGATACTTTATTTGTATGACCACAAAGGTATCATGACACTTATATACATTATTGGCAACTTATCCAATCCTCTTTTTGAGACATAGACACCTTATTTCCATAGCCTGATTCAGTCATATTGTGGAAGTTACATTATGAAGAGAAAAATTATATAAAAGGAATCCATCATACCATAGTGTTCAAAGATCAAAGTTGGCATTTCTATTTTCTACATGGGAAACTTCCCAGAAACTTCCAAGGAGTATTACCTCCCATAATCCATTGGATAGTCTGCTTCATGAATCTATGAAATGAAAATAAACTTTCATGAGTATAGTGCTCAGCAGCTGACCAAAAGATTGGAGATTTGAATTCACCCAAAACAAGGCCCTAGGAAATTGATGACATACGGATTGACATATTTCAACAAACAGATGCTGTCCTGAATGTGCTCACCAAATTGTGCCAAAAAATCTGGAGGACAAGTGCCTGGCCAAATGACTTAAAGAGATTTATATTTGTTCCCATTCCAAAGAAAGGTAATCCAACAGTGTGGAAATTGTAGAACAAGTATTATTGATATCACATGTAAGCAAGATTAGGCTGAAGATTATCCAAAAATGACTGCAATAGCACATCAACAGAGAACTGCCTGAAGTGCAGGCTAGATTTAGAAGAGGCCGTGGCAATAGGGATGTTATAGCTAATGTCAGATGGATCTTGGCTGAAAGCAGAGAGTACCAGAGGAATGTATATCTGTGTCTCATTGACTCTGCAAAGGCATTTGACTGTGTACATCACAACAAACTGTGGCTGGCTCTGAGGATAATGGGAATCCCAGAACATTTAATCGTGCTAATGCGAAACCTATACTTGGACCAAGAGGCAGTCGTCAGAACAGAGCAAGGAAACACTGCGTGGTTAAAAATTGTGAAGAGTTGTGTCAAGGATGTGTCCTATCTCTATATCTTTTCAATCTAAATGCAGAACAGGTTATCCAAGAGGCTGGGCTCTATGAGGAGAAGTGTGGCATCAGGAATGGAGGTAGACTGATCAACAATCTGCGTTATACAGATGACATAACCGTGCATGCTGAAACTGAGGAGGACCTGGCGTGCTTGCTGCAGAAGGTCAATGACTGCAGCCTTTGATATGGATTGAAGCTCAACATGAAGAAAACAAAGATTCTCACCAGTGGGGCATTTGGCAGCATCATGATAGATGATGAAGAGATTGAAATTGCTGACACCTTCAGTTTGTTTGGTTCTACAATCAACATTCTTGATACCAGCAGCCAGGAAATTAAAATATGAGTTGCATTGGGAAAGTGTGCTGTGAGAGACCTCCCCAAAGTACTGAAGAGCAATGATATCAGTCTGGAGGCTAAGGTGCACCTAATACAGGCCATGGTCTTTGCAATTACTTGTTATGCATCATAAAGCTGGACAATTACTAGAGATGATAGAAGGAGAGTTGATGCATTTGAGCTTTGGTACTGGAGAATAGTATTGAATATATCATAAACTGCTAAGAGAACAAACAAGTTCATCCTGGAGAGGGTGAAACCAGGCTGCTCCTTGGAGGCAAGGATTCTGAAGCTTTGTCTGACATACTTTGAACATGTTGCAAGGTGGGATCAGTCCTTGGAGAAGGATGTCATGCTTTGGAGGGTAGAAGGACAGCACAGGGGAGGAAAACTCTTGATGAGATGGATTGATTCTGTCACTGCAGTAAAGGGGATAGGCGTGTCAGAGACAATAAGCTTGGCAAGGGATAGAGCAGGCTGTAGGGCTGTTGTACATAGGGTCACTAAGAGTCACAAGCCACTCGACGACACATAACAACAACATAGGGACCTTACAAGAAAGTCTGTCTAGCAATCTTCTTCTGAAAGGTAAGCCTTTGATATTTATGGAACACAACACATAAAGTGTTGCAAGTCAGGTAACCCAATAGCAATTGTATGGGAGACTTAACCCTCATATCTACTGTAGTTTTGCCTTTGAGAGTTTTAATTTATGCCACTTGATCCTGGGAAATTACTAATAATATTCCCTTTTATATTCAAA